GGGCTGCCCTGCCATTCCAGGGCTCACACACACTCACACCAGGAGCCAATCAACCTGCCAGTGTGTCTGAACTGTGGGGGGAAACTGGAGCACCTGGAGGAATCCCATAGGAAATTCCAGCCTTTCTAGGTATGAGCGGGCCTCTTTGCTCGAGAAGAATCAACCCCAGGCCCAATGTGCATTTGTAAAACGACACACATGGCATGCACGAAAAGCATTTCTGTCAGCATCGTTTTGCACTGCACTTGCCCGTTTAGAAAACAGGTTTACGAAATCTAGACTCCTCTTGTTCATCTTGCATCTTGCAAGTTCATCATAACTTCCTTCTAAAATGGGTTGGGGAGTATCGTTCTCCTGACCAGCACCGGAGGGGTCACAAGCATTGCACCATCAAGGCGAACCCATTAATGAGCACTAACTGCAGATAGTCTTTAGACAATGCGTTGTTTGTGTGCTTCCTAGCTACGTCCTAGTGCGGTGCTTGTGCACTGATATGGCGTTGTACAGTTTGGTATTTAAGCAGAGGACAGAGGAAGTGGCAGAAAGAAGAAAAAGAATAGATGTGGTGATGCCAAAGAGTGAATGTCCAGGGTCACGTGTGGCTTGTGTCTCTAGTGACTGCCGATGTTTAGGGGTTCATCAGAGCACTGGGGTGTGTCCTTTACCCTCTTGACTCAGACAAGGCACCCTAATGCCCACAACAACACACGAGCTTTCATGCCACCATCTTCACCATCTGCTCCTGACAACAATTTCTTACAAATTCTTTCATCATCATGCCTTTTCGGTGTTTCTAGACTGACAAGCAAAAAACAAATACCAGTGAAATAAAAGTCCTGGTGTCGCTGAGCACACAGTAGCAGTAAATCCGACAGAACATGAAGTGTAACACAGCGACAGGATTGCACTCTCCTAATACCCATTGCACTTACTGGGCTGAAACAGGAGAAAGGCATCTGCACGTAGCTAATGACTCTTGTGCGTAATTAATCATTTAGTGCATGCTAGCAGCACTTGGTCTGAGGATTAGGCTGCAATTAGAGGACGGGTCCCCCAGGCCTCCAGGCTGCGGAGATGCAGGGAGGGATGGGCACTGAGCAGCTGTCTGACTGGCTTCCTAATACAAGCCTGATCTCCAGAAGCCCACTCCCCCTCAGCAGCGTCACACGAAACAGGCCTGTTTATCAGTCCAGTCAGCCCCTCTGTCTGCTGGAGTGTCTCTAGCCCGCTCTGACAAGCGGTCAGGTTCAAACGCAGCTCGTGCATACGTGTGTACACACAGCTAGCTGCGAATATCACATCAGCAAACATTTTCCCTGGGCAGTTCTTACCTCACTAGTAGATAGAGGCAGTCAGGTTTTGATTTGGGCTGTGAATCCATTGCAGACAAAAGGATAACCACACATTTCTTAAACCTCACAAAATTATTATTTTTGTTTCCTAATTTTAAGGTTCTCCCTTCAAATTTTTTGCCGTGTTTTTGCTCTGTTGAAATCAGACAGATCCAGATCAGCCAAACACTTCAGACTTTTGACTTTTAAAAACTTTCAGCAAATACTAAATTTTCAGAGCTCAACTCACACCCAATGAATTGCTTCCTTTATTGTCCCAGATGGGCAATTTGCTTTGCAGGCAGGTAAAAGACACAACATAATACAAAAAACATTTAACACAACATGAACCCAGTAACACATGAGAAACATACATGCATAAGAGCAGCTTACATAGTCTTCACAATTAGAAAAAAAAGAAATTGGGTCATCAGTGTGTAAGTTTGATACATAAGATACACGATTGAGGAAGTAAAATATACAATCAGCTCAATCACAAATTGAGCAGGTTGATAGCTGTAGGAGCAAAAGATGACTTAGTTCTATTGCTCTTGAATCTAGGCAGTCTGAATCGACACCCAGATGGAAGGAGCTCAGATTCACTGAGCAAGGGGTGGTCATGACAGTCAGTGATTATATTGGCCTTCTGCACTACTTGTATATGTAGATGTCTGCCAGCTGTAGCTGTTGTGCACTGATAACTTCGCTGGCTGCCTTCACTGTCCTGCTCAGTGTGTTTTTCTTGCATGTATTCAGACAAGCTACCACCAAACCTACTACAGCGAATGTTAAAGCAGATTCAATATTACTCCTATTAAGGATTTAAGCATAAGAGATAAATATTTAGTAAAAAAAAAGGGCTGAGGAAAGATTCAGTTGACATAAATATAAGGGTTTAAGCAGACTACATCATTAAAACTTTGTTGCAGTCTTAAGAGAGATAAAGTCTCTCATCAGGTCTGCACACAAGTGACGCATCAAGTCAGTGTTTTATGTAAATGGAGTAAGTGGTCTCTCTATGGAAATCCACACCTAACGAACACTCAACCCCAGTTTTTCTAGCATAAACACCTGGCTTTTATGTTGGAGAAGGCACCTGTACATCAATAACACAGCTGGGCTTAATAAGAACGCAATGACACGAGCAGAGGAGAAGCATCTTCACTATTCTATTCTTGAGTGAGATTGGTCCTGTCAGCCCAGCTGTACAATTGGGGGCCTGCTGGAGGAGTTAACCAGCTGTAAACCTGTGATCAGTCTGGTGTGCAGCCCTCACACTATTACACGGTTACACTGAGATTCCCAGAAATAGGACAAGCAGCCCAAAGAACTCTTAGCTTGAGGATTCAATAAGGATACAGCAGATAGCGGATGCAGTTAACAAGGTAGTAGGAGAAACCCTCTAACTGATGTTTGGGTACTGGTTTCTCAGTAGTTGTTCACCCTTCTTAATGGAAACAGTTGTTGCTTCTCTGGGGCCACTGTGCTGTGGTTTTTATCTACCCTGAGATGAACAGGGAGACAGGGAACACCACCACTCATAATCAGACAAGGATTAACAGCACAGAGAAGCTAATTGCAACCCAAGGGTGGACTAAATCTTATACCCCTGTCAGCTGTAATCACTGGACCTCGTACTGCAGAGACACATTAACTGGAACAGGCACCCCAGGCTGCTTTGTAGAGCTGCGTGCACGTAAAATTTGCAAAATGGAGACAAGTGCAGAGACACTCCACAGCAAAGGAATTATTCCTTGTTGTGATACTGTCTCTGCTGCCTAACAAAAGAATGCTTGTCAGAGTCTTCTTAAAGGTGAGGCAATAAATAGAGAACAATCTGAAAAACGCTCAGAGATCTCAGGTCCAGGCAAAATGTATTTAGTACAAATTTGAATCAACTGAAAATGCATTATTTCGTCTCCTGGTTACTCCGACAATCCATTAGGAAAATTAATTTCAGAGCCGTAAAACAGCTGTTCTCAACAGGACCCAGGCCACAGTTTAAGCAGCTGGATCACTGTACAGAAGGAGATCTGTTTTCCAAATGGATCTAACGAGTCATTCTTCTCCTGCCAACACCAAGTACAAGTTCAAATCCTTAGTTTTCCCATTGCGAATAACAATTCCTAAGACGTTAGCTGCAGCAAAGACAGAACCGGGAAAGGATGACGTCTTACAACAAGCGCGGAGGAGAAGCTACCCAGCTTTACACAAGACGCAAGCATGTGTCACACAGTCCACCTGCATTAGAACATGACACAGTGGGCTGTTACTAGTCGCATTCGCACATTTCAGAGAAGGGTAACACTGAAAACACGGCAGACGAGCCCCAGAGCAGTGCAGGGTGACTGTGTCCTTACACGGCAGAGCCCACAGCCCGCTGTATTAATGAGTGTGGCACCCGCGGGGCGCGGACACGGCTGGGCAGGCGGACTCACGTCTTGACGTAGGGATCTGAGAAGCCATTGGCGTCCATGGCAGCCAGGTGGGCGCAGCGGATGATGCCCACCACCAGGCCGCTCTTCTGGGAGCTGTACTTGAGCGAGATCATGATCCTCCCTCGCTCCTCCAGGGACTTGTCGTCCGTCTTGTCGATCTGTCGGAACAAGACGGCCGGCGCTCAGCACCAGGCAGTTCTCCCGAGACACAGCACGGCCACTTGTTTTTTTTTTATCTTTGAGGGCACTGTACAGGCGAAAATGTCATAGCAGTGTCCAGAACCTGACCAAGCTGACTCTGATTGAATAAAACTATAAAATGACATTGTTCAATTCAGTGTTGCAGGGAGGAACGGTGGCACAATGGTTAACATTGCTGTCTCACAGCAATGGGGCTGGGCTCGGTTCTGGACCTGTGGTGCTGCCTGTGTGGAGTCTGTATGTTCTCGCTGTGTTCTGATGAGTTTCCTCTGGGTGCTCCAGTTTCCTCCCACAGTCCAAAGACATACTGGTAGGTTACTGGCTTTTGTAACAACTGGTGTGTGTGACTGTCTGTGCCCTGTGATGGACTAGTGTCATGTCCAGGATGTTTCTTGTCTTGTGCCCATTGCTTGCTGGGATAGGCACCTGCTCCACTGCTACCTTGTACTGGATAAATTAGTTAGTGTATTTCGGACAAAAATCATTTGAGACTGTTTTTTCCTTCTCTAGCTGTCACTGCTTATATTACTTTCCATTTCTTCAAAGCGCAGTTTTAAAGTGAATCAAACAGGTGAGGATTTAAATCAATGCTGCACAAACTTCATTATACAATCCTGAACTGATGGGTTTCAGAGGACTGTGCAATGATAATTAATCTTCCCTTTAAACTTCCTCGCAGGCGACTTCTTTCAAAGGCTTTCAAAGACACTTTTATGCCCCAAACAGCTTGTGTATCACCAAAACAAACACAACACCGAGAGAGGCGCACAAGGAGAAATCAGACAGCAGGAACATTGAGGTGACACTACAGAGCTCCTCGGAAGGAAAATAATTTTCAAGCTCCTTAATGGAGGACACCAAAGTCCTCAATCTGAAGGGCGCCCACCCCCAGCTCACACTCCCACTGACAGCATGACGTTAGTTTGGGGTGGCAGTTCAGACCCAGGAAGATCAGTGCAGCATGCAATTACCTGCAACGGCACAGCATTACGGAACATCAGGTCGCAGACTCTGAACAAACTCAATTAGCTTGTTTTTAAGTAGCTGTGTGTAGCCAAGGGGCTTTGATTGGAGTGGAAGCAGAGTGCAAGAGCCAGGGTGAAGGAGAGGGACGCTCTGACTGTCCCCTACAGACGGGCTCCTCACACCACGTCTGAGGCGCACAGCCAGGCACAGCCTGCTACAGGAAAGTGCTGACTTTGTACCTGCACAAAGAGCACTGCTCGATGAGGGGAAAGGAGAAAAAGAAAGTAAAAAAATATCCTTTTTTTGCTTTTCAAGTGCAGCCGAATTGATTCTTAGTGTCTATCCTTATTTCACTTGTACATCAAAGACGGATTTGTAGGATTTAAATGTCTTCCAGCCCCTAACTTGACAACCACCCTCTGACCTACAGATTGGGGCTCTGAGGATGAATATGGTTTTTTTTTGTTAAAGGGAATTTGGTCGTTGTATTTGTTAACAAGTGCTGGAAAAATATGTGGGTTATGCAAGATTTGAAACAGGTTAGAAATGAAGATTGTTTGGTTCATTACACATGTATCCATTACTTCAAACACTCAGTTAGGATATAATATTAAAAGGAAGCAAAATGTGATATAAACTGTATCAGAATGTTACTCCACACCCACTTTCCCCCGGATGAGTGAAGGGAGCCCAGAGGCAGCTGAGCGAATTCCGAATTCAATTACTTTTTCTAGTTTCACGGCTCGCACATCAGTCCTTCCTCAAGACCAGCTCACTCCTGCCGCTCTCATTATTTTTAAGTATGAGCAGAATATCAGATACTTTTGGGTCACATTTTAATGCTGTGGCAGAGATGACACAGAGACACAATGGAGTGGCTGTGTAGGAGCCTGCAAGGATGCTGTTTGCTGTTTGCTGGGAAATAGGTACTGGCTCCTGAAAGTGAGGCGAGTTATTAAACATGGGTGCAGTCAAAGCTCATAGTTAAATTGGCTATTCCCCCCATGATATGAACAGCTCCATTTAAAATATTTAACATGTGGAAATACGAAAACAATATTTTAATATTGGCAACAGTGAATCCATGAATCATGATCACATGATGGAAGTCCATCCATCCATTTCTGACCCCTTTATCCAGTTCAGAGTTGTAGAGGAGCTGGAGACAATCCCAGAAAGCAATGGGCTCAAGGCAGGATACACCCTGGATGGGACGCTGGTCCATCACAGGGCAGACAGACACAGACATACTCACACCAGGGCCATTTTTCCCAGAAGCCAGTTAACCTGCCAGCAGGTCTTTGGACTGTGGGAGGAAACCCACATGAACATACAAACTCCATGCAGATAGCACCCCAGGAACTGAACCCCCTGGTGGAAATTAAACATGAAAAAACTGATGGCACTTAGTGTATTTTATCTTTAACTATTATTTTTATCTAATAGAAATTAAATAATTTAATTTTATGATGGTAAATACAACATTTTTTATCCATGTATCCTAGAATATCTGTGTATATCTCTCATCCTCTCAGGCTCAGAAGCAAGTCCAGGCTGGTGTTCTTTCCGCCTGGTATTACAGGATCAGAGTGGATCTAACAGCCTTATTCGCAGGTACGTTTTATCATTTAACAGAATTTTTATTAAAACTGTAAACTTTAAATGCTGGTGTTGCTCAGTCCAATTTCAATCAATCTGAAATTCTATTGCAACAGCCTCTAAAGACATGTTAAGGCACAGATTCATCCTGGGCCTGAGCTGGTATTTTTAGCACTGTCGGGCTGATGACAGTGGGTTGCTGTGTTGCTGGTCTCTCAATGATATACTAGTTTCTAGTTTCCTCCCCTATCTCCCAGTCGCTTGCTTGTTTCTGCCTCTCCCAGAAACTATTTCAGCTGGGTTTCAGTGATCCTTAGCCCTGGTTTCCTTTTTGGGTACGTTAGCTTAATTCACTCAGAGGTTTTAGTTTGATGCTTTGGGATCTAAACACAGGAATGCAGAAATTGTTTAGATCTTCATTTAAAAAAAATACCTTTTCAGAAACATCTTCAGGTTTTCTATTTGTCTTTACAAATATATATAATTATTTCTGCTGGCCAATGTTTTTTGCTTTGAATGTATTGCATTTATTTTTCCCCTTGTGCTCTGCTGAAACACTTTGAGCCGGACTGTAGGCGCCGAGCACAAAGAGAGAACAAGGACCACAGTGGTGGAACTGGCTTCTGGACAGAAAACCACCTGAGGAATGGTCGTGGGTGGACAGCGCCTGCCTCGTCCTCTTTGCTTTCATTAAAAGCATAAGCCCTGTGTCTGTAGCAGCTGCCCACTGTGGGCCAGTGCCTGCTGGGAGAGGTATCCCACGCACTGTCTTCTTGCTGCTCAGCTCTTTACAGACACCACCAGCCTGCCTGTGCCCCCTCCCAGTCCAGGTATTTCCTAAGCAGCAGGGACTCTGTGTCTCGTCTGCTCTTGCTGAAGCATGTGGCTTTCACACAGAGCTGCTTCCTCAATGTCAGCCTGACGGGGAGCTGTGTCATTTAATGACTGAGTACCAGGACACAACCTTGAAACTGAGCCCTACTATTATTTGCTAGAGGGTTGCTTGCTCTGTATCTTCAATGTCAGAGAAATTCATTAAGATGAGTTTAATTTAAAAAAATGCAGACTGTATGATATTTTGTCATTCATGAGGAATAATAACATCCAGTAAGGAAATTAGTTTAGGAATGTTTATTGAGAAGCTTTTGCTTAATAACCTGGTTGGCCACACGATGTAGTAGTTGGGACCCCCATGCAGAGTGAGGAGTTACCCAAAGGGTAGATGCAGAGGAGGGAGGCACAAACGTACAAGGAAGAGAGGGTCTTACTATGGTACTGAAGACTTAAAGGGATTATGGGTCAGAGCAGCAGAGGTGAAGCAGAACATGAGTCCTGCCATCCCTCCCAAACCTTCCTTAAAAAAGCCCTTCAGCAAAGACATGGCAGGAGATGAACAGGAGTTCATGGTTGATAGTACTATATCTGTAAAAAATATTTTTATCACCTCCAAAATATTGCCAAGATCCAGTCTTCTCTCTCAATCCACTGTAGAGAGACTTGTCCATCTTTTGATTCCTCGAGGCTGGACAATTGTAATGCACTGTTTCAAGGAGTTCCAGCGAAGTACATTAAAAACCTTCAGTGCATTCAGAAGTGTGCTGCTTGCATTTTGTTGAGGGTGCAAAGGCAGAAACATATTACACCTGTTCTGGCATCTCTGCACTGGCTGCCTGTGAGTTTTAGAAATGACTTTCAGATTTCGATGTTGACCTTTGAATGTGTTCACTGAGATGCCCTGTCTTATCCTAAAGTTCTGCTCCAAACTTCAGACTTCCTCCTGGAACTCCAGGTCAACTTCCCAACTTACTCACCGGCAGCTGTTTCTCCAGACAGATGTTGAAGTTCTTGGTCTGGTTGGGCTTGAGCTTCTTCAGGGGGATCCGGGTCTCTCCGATGAACTCATTGTGCCGAAACTTGTCCTCATCGCACACTGAGATCCTGAACAGACAGGGAGGGAGAGGGAGGGGGAGTGAAGATTAAGCAGTCTGAGCTCTTAACTGATTTTGTAGGTGTAATCTTTACTCTTTGCACCACGGTTTGCATCTCTTCATTCCCCATTTCACAATTGTGGTGATTTCTGGATGATGACAGACATACTGTAAATCTTTCATAGCGTTCTGATGAAAAGATGAAGTAGCTCAGACACAGATTTCACCTAACAGAAAGGCACTGTGCTCCTTCAGCCATTATTTGAAGCCTTCTTTAGTGTCTAAAAGGTCAGTGTTACAGTGCTATTGAATTCAGTTGAGTTTTTAGAAGCAGATGCAATACTGTGACAGTAATCCTATGATCTCTTTTTATCAGATCTCTGTTGAGTTTGATAGTTTTATATCCCCAGTCTGAACTAAGCCATGTACAGGGCAGATTTGGACTGTTCACAGCCTTTCTGTGTAGTGAACAGTTTGTGTTCTACAGCGTAGCCTGCATTTGGCTTCCTGCAAGGTTGAAACCAAACTGCAGCTGCTAACGTACTGTACTAGAGATCCTGCTGCCACAGAGAAGTTTGTGTTATTGAACTTATGCATGAGGGAGAAAAAAATACAGCCATTAAATCTTGTCACAAGATGAGAATGATTCAAAACACATCAAGAAAGACATCAAAAGCAAGAGGGAGTTTGCTAGAAGAGACATTTACTTTTAATTTTTTACACTTAAGCCATGTGATACAAAATAAAGAACATAAGAAAAAGTGCAAACAGTCTGGGCAGCTTGTTCCATACTTTCATTTACCCTCTTCTGCGTAAGAAGACTTTCCTCTTCTCAGGTTTGAAAGCTCTTCCACATTGTAATCTTTAAGTCGTTTCCTAATTTCCTAAGGCTTCCCACCTCTGCACTTGCAGAGATTCAATCTGTTATTCCCAGAAGATGATCTGTTTTACTGTTCTGACCAACACAAGTCCTTCCACAGTGCTATAATACAGACACTCAATTCATGATTTCAAGATTATCGGTAACTACAGGAGGGTTTTTCATATGGGTTCATCATGAGCCATGATTCCCCAGAAGTTAAGATCCTCTTTAAATCTTTAACTAAGGAATGGGTGAAAATAATTTAATTATTTTAACTAAGAGTTCAAGAAATGCTGCAAATTGCCTTCTGACACTAAAGAACACTCAGCATAAATCATAAATGTCTTGCGGTTCAGTGACCTCCAACATTGCCAATTCAACAAAAGCACAAAAGCTCATTCATTGCTGGGGAAAGATATCAAGTAAAATCTAGATATGATAGAAAGCAATCTGGGGGCATTGTAATTGAGCTGGTGGGTATACTCAGTATGGGTTTCAAGTAGCCACTATAGCAGCAGCCAGTTTTTCCCCTATATTTGGAACTTTTCCTGTCGCTCTTTAAATTCAAAACTTTTTAAAGCTAAACAAGTTCAGGAGGATTTAAAATAGAGGTATTTGGTTAGAATTTAGGTCTGAAAATGAACAGCTGTTTGAAGTTCTGCTAAATTGCCCCTAGAACTATTTCTGTGCGAGATAAGAGAAGCCTCTGGTCATTTGATTAAGATGTGTGGCTGGAGCCTGTGCTCACCTGGTTATTTAAGGTATATGATCAAAGGCACACTGGAATTGGGCTTCCTTCTGCAACAGATCTGATCTTGATGAAGGTCCCTTTGAGTGAGGAGCTTTGCCCCAGTTGCTCCAGTCCATCTACCTGACTGTACGCTCAGCAGCCCCCCGAAAGTAGTTTTAATTATTCATCATTTTTTTCGAGGCGCCTTTAATTTTCTCTGCTTAGTTGTTTTCGCTCTCCTGCCTCCTGAACTATGTTCCTGTGTCCAGCAGGGAGCACTCTGCCCAGCACAGCGGCCTGCAAGCCCCACCGGTGGAACAGCAGACTCTGTGACTCACTGATCCAGCTGTCATGCGGGTGTTTGCTCAGCCCCCTGGTGGGATAAGAATCCCTGTCCTTCCCAGCTCCCATGACTTCCAGGCCTCACTCTCTGTCACCACTGCGCTGCAGAGTGTTTAATGGACAGCTGGGAGAGCTCTGCCCATTTACAGCAGGTCTGAAAGTAGCATGTACAGGTTGTATGGACATCCACCGGCCTCTTATCTGTACCTCCAGTCTTCCTGGCTTTCAGGCGACAGCCCCCTCACTCTCTGCATTTCTCTCCATCCCTCTTGACACAGTAAACGGCTGCTCCCCCACTCACTTCCAAGCTCTCTAATACAATGTGAACCTGTCAGTCTCTTTTTAATCGAATGCAAAGAAACTATTTCTATATGTCTCTAGAGCTCTCTGAAACAGCCCAGGTTTTCCTGCTACTCCCTTCTCTCACCAACCTTGTAATAAAATACCACTGTCACTTTTCTCTCAGACTAATGTTTAATCTCTTCCTTATTTAAGGTCTGGGACTGGGATTCCTTATTCTAATGCAAGTTTACACAAGGATTGTCAGCAATATAGCAGTGAACAACTGGGTTAGCATCACAGGGCACAAGCACTTTCTGTATTGTATTCAATCAGTGGCTAAAGATGACATTTTGCTATGGAGCACCATTTCATTTCCTGCCCTGTAACTTTTTTTTTACTGTGACATTTCTATCTGTAAGAACATTTATTTGTACCATTTGTGCTACCCAAAATGCTGCTGCTTTGTAGCTACGAATAGCCGTGAAATCCAGCATTGAAAAGAACTGGAGTGACAAAGAAAGGGTGATGGAAATGTACATTTCTGCTATAGAATCTGTCCTCGGCCCACTGCTTGATACACAAGTAAAAATGTTTTACATATTAATTTGTTTGTGTCTGCTCCTATTTGGGTTTGGTATTGCAACCTACATCATCTTTACGTTAAGGTGGCTTTTTTCACTATTCTGTATAAGCAAGACGGATTTAAAGTGGTAACAGTGTTGACCACTGCACAACTGCACTAGTTCGGAACAAAAAAACATTCTCGTAATCTGTTCTTTCTGAGGTGTCATTTCCTATTTGTAATGTATTCTATAGTCACAGCACAGTCTCATATCTTTTAACGCATGTTCTAGTTTACACTGATATTATCAACACTTGGGAAATATACTGTATGAGAAAATTCATCTTCAAGTTTCAATTACGCTAAAAACAATGAAGTAACAGCTGAATTTGATCTGTATTTTGACATTTGTATATCTGTTCACTTGCATTTTCTTTTTTTAAGAAGAGTTCAGGATCCATTTTCATTTGTAAATCTACATAGTCTGAAGTTTTCTCCAGACCCCCAGAATAAAAGACATCATTTTCCGTAATTTATTCCTTTTGTCTTGTTGGTGGCTTTGTGGATGGTCTAGTACATTAGTAATAGCGTTTTAAATGTCTCATGTATTTTTAATATAAAAGATATCATTTAGAAGTCTTTGAACCAGCTGTAGAGAGGAAATTAGGCTGACACCCGTTTGACAATGTCACTTTAAAATGGAGTTATTACAGCCGTCGAAGCATTTGGTTTCGTGGAGTGAAAAAGAAGCCAGTGTTTTTAATAATCACTTCACGTTATTAGCATTTTTAAATCTCTGCGGAGTCACGCACAGCTCACAATTAAACTGTCATTCCAATGTGCACTTGAAGTCTCTCTGTGCCCTGGTGGGGAAGGAGAAAAAAGATGGAACAGTTTTGTTTGTTCCTAGAAAAAGACAGAGGCGACCCAAAAAGACTCATGTTAATAAGTTAGACAATAAGACTGTAACATTTCCACTGCTATTGTACCGGCAGAGCAAAACAAATTAAAAATCTGTGACAGTAAGATCATAAGTTACCCAGGAGGCTTGGGCTGGTAGCTCTCCAATGCGCTACCTCTGGTGGCTGTGAACAGATCCGGCTAAAACTTCAGCCAAAATTTCTTAATTTCAAGTCTGGATGGGTTTTCCATTAAAGGTCAGAAAACATGGCACTTGCACAGGCTGGACGTCTAAGGTGTCACAGTTACGCATTTTAAAAGGTTTAAAAATTCAAGGCTGAATTGAAAACCTGGTTCCACTGACAGCAGGAGAGGCTCAACCAGCCAGTTCAATTTTAACAGCAATATAACAACACAACACGCTTTTAACTCTTTAGTTACTGTAGTCATTCAGTCAGAGCTTCAAAGAAAACAAATCAAGATCTCTTTAGTCTCTTTAGATCTGTGAAATCACAAAGAGTCTGTGTAGAGCTGGGAGAGAACGATATGTCTGTAACAATTAGCCTGGCTTGCTCATGGACAAGGATTCAGCAACTGCGCCAGCAAAGCACACACTCTCAGAGAGCTACCCAGAGCGCTCGATCCTCTCTGGCAGTCGAAGCTGCTCGGAGTATCAGCAGGCAATCTTCCCAGTGATGGTGTGCAGGGCAAGATAAAGCACGTTCGGATTCAGGCCATGACCAACTATCTGCTACTTCAAGCACTGAACTTCACTGCCTGAAGAAACTTGCGTGCTTCTTGCAGATGAAAATCCATTCTATTTAGTCTAGCGGTGGAAAAACATTTTTAAAAATAAATTCTTTTGTTTTAGTTGAACTCCTGATGAAGGGGAACTGGGCTCCCATTTGCACAGTTATTTTTTCCACTTCAGGTTTTATCAGGTGTTCAGTTCCAAATGAAAACAGCTTTTTTTTGCTTCATTCATTTTTTAGGAGATACAGACCCCTGACAATGTAAGTTACATGGTATCACAAATAGCGTAAGGAGTGTGATCATGTTATCAGTTATTCCTGGACTGATGCATCTTGATACGGTATTTCTTCATATGTTTATATGGGCAATGTGGAAACACAAGTGTATATTTCTCTGCATATTGTGAGCCCTCGGATTACTTTTTTAACTCATTAAAATTAAAAACCCTAACTATAGGCCCGCACTGTTGCTTATTTTTGATGAGAAGTAATCATTAAACAAACATGAAGACAATAAACTACTAGAATTCCTTTTTTCTTTGTGAAGTTCCATTGTAATTATCCAGACACAAAGACTACAGCAGTTTCAGTGATCTCTCCAGCTCAGCTTTTCACTCAAACCTTTGATCCAAGACAGCAGACCTCAAAAAAAGGGCTGAATTACAGAGGTGAAGGCCAGGGCCAAACATTTTATTTTCTTTAATAGACACACAAAAGTGCTCCCTCTGGAGCGCTGTGCTGTCTGCCCTTAGTGTTGTACTGCTCTTCAGTTCTGCCAATGGCCTCAGCATGGCAATTCTTCAACTTTTTTCTCTTAATTTGCAATCTGCACAGATCAAATCAGTAGGAAGCCAACAGAGCTGTTCAGTTGAAGGAGGAAGCCAGACATAATAATCTGTTTTTATCACCTTTTTAATATCTACAGAAGCCCCAGAGGCAGGCCTCATTTATATACTTCCTCTGTGTCCGGTTTCGCCAAGGATAACTCTGGGATTCCGAAGCCTTTGCACCTTCGTTGAGTAAGGAAAACGGATGCTTCAGGTGGTCTAGTTTCCTAATTTCTTTAGTGCAGCGGATAAAATTGTTTTCAAGGCAAGGCTAGCAAACGGGAATTCTTTGTTTCCATGGAAACGGAAAAGGGTGGTCTAAAGAAAGGGACCAAGTGTAAACTCTTCACACAAATCATCAGGTGGGCACTTGAAAATCGACAAACGAAAGGAAAGACTCTTCTTCTTTTCTCTGCTTTTTAACAAAAGAATCTTCCAGGGTGAAAACTGGTAATTTTACCACCGTGCTGTAGGTTTTCAAACCCCTGTTTGACAATATACTGGGGAATAAACTGGAGTAAACTGGGAAATTACTGTATATGTTAATTTGATTTAATAAAAGATTAAAATCCATGTAACCGCTGACTTGGACATGTTCATTCTTTTCTGTTTATATGGCTATCAATCGAGCAAGCTTTTCTTAGGTTTCATATATTTATTCTGACACATGCCTATTTTTTCAGAAAGAAAAATAAAGAAAATGTTTCTGTTAGGTCTTTACTTTAGATTGCTTCATTCCTAAAAAATGAAGCTAGTCACACAGAAACAATCCATCCAGAGGAATCCCACGTGGACATGGGGAGAACATGCAGACTCCACACAGACAGCACCCCAGGAGTTGAACCCAGGGCTCCAGCGCTGTGAGGCAGCAATGCTGGCCACTGCTCCACCATGCCACCCAAATAAAATCAACCCGAGGTCTTTCCTAGGTCTCACTGCTGCACAACACAAAAAGGAATTTCTTCTTAGGGTATGAGATGAAGCTGCTAAATGCAACATCAGCTTTTCTTGAAACTACAGAAAAGAGGAACTCTAAAGCACAGTAAATGTTTTCCAGACCGTGATCAGCCACTGCTCATTAAGCGCCTGAGCTGCGTCTGTGTGCCACATTGATGAGTCACTGGTTGTCCCTCGCGGTGGAGCATGATGGTCTGGCATGAATCCGAAGGTGGCTGAGAAGGTCAGTGGCGAATCCACACACACTATGGTGGAGTTAGTAGAGCAGGTGATTGTTACTGTAAAATTGATTTACCTGTCTCAGACACTGTCTTTTATCATCCATACATTTTCTAACTGCTTTATTCAATACAGGGTCGCAAGATAGCTGGGGCCTCTCCCAGCAAGCACTGGGCACAAGGGAGGGTACATCCTGGCTGGGACACCAGTTCATCACAGGGCATCATAGGGCAGACACCGACCCACATATGAACGCACACACTCACACCTGGGCTAATTGTCCCAGGATGAAAGCATGATAACGATGTAAAAGATAAAAGCCAATTAACCTACCAGTATGTTTTTTCAATTGTGGAAGGAAACTCCAAAATTGAACATACAAACTCCACATAGATAACACCTCAGGATTTGAGCCCAGGGCTCCCGAGCTACAAGGCAGCAAAGATAACTGCTGTGCCACTGAGCCACCATTGTTTTTTAATTGAAAAAAAAAAGTACTTATTTTGTTAAGATATTTAAGCCCTACCAATATTATTCCTCATTTCCATATTGTTCTGCATGACTGAAATAAATGGCCTAATTTTGCAATTAACTTGCACATTTACTTCTGTAAGTGGCATAAAAATCCAAAATGAATTTTTAAAAACCTAATGTGTGATACTGATCAGGTTCATAATTGTTTACTGGAACATCATAGTAGCTACTTAAAAGTAATACTGCAAATCATCCGTACTTCTGTGTGGTTATGTTTATAAAGCAGGAGCTAATGTTTTTTTTGTTTTTACTTGCAGCAGACTGTCAATAAAACCACCCTAACTCAAATCCTCTTCATTTATAAAGCTCTGCTCTTTTGAAAGGCAGTAAGATGATTTAACTGCAGAGACGATTACCTTTTGCAGCAAATCCATCTTTAATTAGTGTAAGTGTAATCAGCATAACCAGATCTCTTCAGCTGAGAAAGCAGGGAGAGAAATTAAACAACTCAAGCCCTAGTCTGTTCTCACACCCATCCTTATGATCACTTACAAAACTAATGGTGAAATAGTTTTCACATAAATTTTTATGGAGTTATGAATGACGATGGAAAATGAAAAGTACATTTCAATACGGATTGACTGTGAATTGAGTAAACTGAAAGGGGCATTTGTTTCTTTTATTGTATACGCATCCTATTTGCAACTGTCAATTGCTTTAAGGCTCGGCTGTGACTACTACAGCGATCAGTGCGACATGAACCAGAGGACAGAAATGGCCACTATGCAGAAGTGGATTGAAAACAGGAGGCACTTCTTTACCTAAAGGGCTGTGGGAGTATGGAACAAGCTACCTGGCCACATTTCTGTAGCCGAAACCCTGACTTCTTTCAAAAACAGCTGCATGGGATTGATTAGCTACCACAGATTGACCTCCTCTCGACAGTTCATATATTCTTCAGAGACACAAGGGGCACGCTCCTCTGACAGGCCCCTTTCTGAAGTGCGTCTCTCACTGACATCACTGCCAGCCTACAGAGTGTGCATAGCCCCTTGAATGTATCAGACATACCTCCAGTGTTGAGGCACAGAGCACTTTTCTGCACCAAAAAGCTGATCCCATGTTACTTCTCAGGCACCAGCAAGTCAGCAAGATTGCAGGTTTCTAGCAAACATGAGCCACTGTTTGTCAGAAAGTCCAGAGACTCCTGATCAACTAATCCTAACACTACCCCCTAGTGGTGCTCAACCCATTGTGTGTCATTGCATGGGGAAGCCTGGTCATGCTCAGCAAGGGACATTACCAAGGCTCAAACTAGCAACGTCTGGATTACAGCGCTCAACCTGGGCTTTAAGCAAGTGCAATTAGCAGCTGAGTCACATAGGCCCCCAAGAGAATTCACCACTAGTTTTGAACATGAAAACTAAAAGAATGTCATTAAAAAAAACAAAACTTAAACTTCTGTCCAGCTCCCTGTCAGCACAGAGAAAGTTATGGTGTATGGTCAGAAGTGGATTCTCTGAACCAAATTCATAACGCATTTTCTTTCATGCTTAAATTTACTGCACCCTTTTTGCTATGAAGCAGGAAGAACAATGTTACAGTATCTAGAGGAACACATGACATGCCTGCCCCTCAATTAACTCCCTATGGGTGACGTCTAACAGCTTCACTCTTTGTTTTCCTGTTGAGGAAGAATGTATGTTTAGCACAGTGGCAAATATTTATATTTAATAAGGACCCCCGAAATCCTCAGGCCAGTCATGGACTGACGCATTGGGAGCCAGTTTGGTTGTCTTTAGAGGGCAGGGGACAGGGAGGGGGTACCTGAGTGTTTTGCGGACCATGTCCTCATCTGTGATTCCGTAGTATGTGAGGGTCTCATTCCAGATGGGATTCAGGGTGTTGCGTAGGGTCTTCGTCCGGAGTTTGTTGGCCTGAGAGAGAGGAACAGGAGAGATGGTTAAAAAGGCAGCTCAGCCCAGACACCAGTGCCACTGTGGATCACCGTGGATCCCACAGCCAGGGTAACTGGTCATGTATGAGATCAAAATCCCAGATGATTGCTGCCAGGTTTGGACTGGTGTAATCTGAAACAAGTGATTGCCTTTAAAGGCACATGTCTTGTTGTTCTAAGTTCAATTCAGACATGATATTATGTGCTCAGTACTGTGATTGAGGCAGATTTCCAATAGTGATGATACAGTCACTGCTCTTCATTCATTAGCCCATTCATTGCTCAGGATTTATCTTCCTAATTTCTCCACCTGATTCACTTTGGTTTTGATTTTACTGTAAATCAAAAATTGTATACCAAGAAAATAACAGTAGGTTTTAGTTATTAAAAAAAATGTGTTTTTAAACAGCAAAAGCCAAAATATTCATTTAAATAAAATAATTAGAAAAAAATATTAGCTTTGCTATGTTACATTTACCTTTAGAATATACATATTTCCTTATGTAAAGTCCCTCATACGTTCCTGGCTTTTATTGACTAAAAAAGAAAATGCCACTCTGGTAATTCATTTTTATGTCTACACATTCTGAAATGCAGGCTAAATAACACTGTGTAATCACAGCTTCTGAAAATGAACTGCAATGGAAGATGCCATTCCATTCTGGAACATAGGGGGGCAGTGGCACATCAGCTGCCTAGGGTCAACAAGGCACTGAGCATCAGTGAAGTCAGAGAAGAGGAGCAAACTTTATTAAAAAATGAAGGCAAAAATAAAAACAATCAAGGTCTGAACTTGACTACTACTGGATTTGGATTTTACGAAGGTGCTCGCTTGCTAGAATGATTGCTTTACACCTGTCCAAATTGCACCACATATATCTCACTTGGTCTCTAAATACAGTACCTGCCTCAGATCAACACTGTCCTTTAACTCAACTCATATGTGATGGTAGATATCCGTATGTTTTTTCAATCCAAAAAAGGACAGCTGCGTTATAAATGTTTAATTCTCTGTTTGCCTGATCTGAAAATTCTATCTTGCTTACGCTTTGATCACTTTTGCCAAGCAAACAAACCCTCTTTCTAAACCAGAGTACAGCTGTGATTATTCAAAAGTTTTTAAAGAACTGGACCAGCACAATGATGCATGTGATGTTTTTTTAAAAATAAGACCTGCTGTTAGCTGGGTGGCACAGTGGCTCACTCATTAGCACTAGGGCCTTGGGTTCAATTCCTGGGGTACTATCAGCGTGGACTGTGTTCATGTGGGTTTCCTCCCACTCTACACACTTGTAGGTCACTTTGCTTCTGGGGAAACTGGTGTGTGTGAGTTTGTGACTGTGTGTCTGCCCTGTGATGGACCAGCGTCCTGTCCAGGGCGTACCCTGCCTTGACCTTGTTGCTTGCTGGGATAGGCTCCCTCCTTCCCGTGACACTGAATTGGACAAAGTGGTTAGAAAATGGATGGATGGATAGTTACTATTGCTAAAAAAATAAGAATAGAAGAAATGCGATAAAGCTAGGTAGTTTAGTTGAGCAAGGTAGTTTAGTTAATCAAAAATTGTGGTTTGGGCCTCTGCCAAATGCGCGAGAACCCTATTCCAGGTACCTAGTGTACAACCCTATATAAAGACGAGTTTTCTATTCTACATTCAAAGTCCTTGTTTCACTACAGAGTTTGAAGCAGTCCCATGAGTTAACGCTTATCTATTAGAATCCTTCTCCTTAGAGGACATACATGGATCTGACTTACTCTTAATTGCTTTTGCTCTAAATTGAAGTGATTTGGCTCGTTTATCCTGCCCCTGTACAATAATTCCCTGAGACCAAGAATCTTTCTTGTTGTACTTGTTGAACTCCTTATTTCCTTTTTGGTGTTGTCGGGATCCAAACTGAATACAATATTCTAAAGGAGGTCTTACTAATACTTCTTAAGCTTGAGCATATTTCTTAAATATTTCTTGACACGCATTCCACATAGCTTAATCCATACCCAAAAACTGTTTGTTTTTGTTTAATTGCTTCTTTACACGGTCTTGACAAAGACATAGAAGAATATACACAAACACAGATGTGAATAAACATGTTGCCTTCTCTTTTTAATCTAACAGTTGTTTTCATTGAGGCCTGACAAGTCCTAGTGACTGAGTACTTTCTGAAAGATTTTGAATGGTATTCTGAACCTTCAATGTGCATTTCACTGTGTGCATAAAATAACTGTGAAGTGAAATTGTGTGGAAACGTAGCTTAATGTCCTGTCGATAAAGTGTGGTTGTATTACACTGCTCAAGCAGGAGAGCTCCTTCCTTACATTCAGACACAGACGGCACTGAAGACAAACTCAAGAGAGGTATTCAAAATATCTCCATCAGTTTTGGACTGATGCAGAAGTATGCCGTGAGCTGTTAAATTGAATTATTGATAATAAGTTAATTAACTATAGTGCACATGTAAGGCTGCACCCATCCATCCCATTTCTAATCCTCCTATCCAGTACGGAGTCTGGGTGGGGGAGATGGAGCCTAAGACACACACACTCACACTAGGGCCAGTTTTACAGACACCACATTGACACAGCTCCTGCAGGGGGAGTTGGGCGGCAGTGAATCTGGGTCCTGAAACCATGACTGCTGCAGCTCCTGCCAGGCTTGCAGTGACATGGGTGGGAGAAACACTGCTCTTCCAGTTGATGGAAACTCTCCTGTCTGGCACTGTGGAGCTATACTGTAGGTGTGTCAAATGACAAATGCCTCTGACAAGTGAGTGTGTTGGAGGAGCATGACTGTCAGTCCTCATTTTTCCTGTGCAGTAGAGGAGTCATTGCTTAAAAACTCAGTGCTTAAAGAAATTGCAATTCTATATTCTGCAGTACATGCTAAAACAAATGGTCAATTCCAAATATAAAATTCATAGGAATATGATTCAAATTACATTAAGCAGCATACATTGTATTAATCAGAATATTAAGAAAAACCCATTTAATACCCAGGTTTCAAAATACAGGTAGAACAACAGCATGCAATAACCTTATTCATAACTTATTATTTCAGGGGCCACAAAAAGTGTTTTGACATAAAGTCTGCAGGAATGTTTGCTTTCTGGGTGTATACACCGATTGAGCCAGAAAGACATCTGTAGCACTGAAACACACAGTCATCAAAGCCTATGTGCTTATGATCTTGCAAGTGGTGCAATTGAGCCCATATGCCTGTGTCCACTTTTAATGAATTATTTAATAAACATCTGAAGGAGAGTAAATTCAGCAGGTCATGTCATTAGTATACAACTGGGGATTAACAAGGTAATTTATTCATTACTGACAGCTGCGTGAGTTTGTTGGGAAAGGAGGAGGAAAGTCAAAAGAAAGATTGAAATCCCATGAAAAGTGCAAAGAAGAGAACTCTGTTACCTTACTCGCTCCAGGCAGCAAGTGCAGCTTGACATAGGGGTCAGAAAGCCCATTGTGGTCCATTGGCTTGAGCCCCTAGAAGAGAGAGGAAGAGAGGGTCGGAGGAGGGTGTCAGCTTTTTTTATGAAAATGCTTTCCTGCAGAACGAGATCTTGGGTGTAGGACCACATCATATCTTTTCGAGAGGTGGGGAACAGAGAGTATAGGACACACCCTGGATGGGATTTCAATCCATTGTTGGTTAGCTTCTGTCATCAATGCCAGTGCTCCTTTATACAGCTGAACTGACTTAAGCAACTGGGATACTGGATGCCTAAGGTTTCAACAACTTGGGATTTCGATACACAACCCTGCTGTTACTGTACATGTATAGCCATACAAAACATTTAACACATTTTAATATTTGTAGATTCATCTAATCTAAGAAATAGTTTGTTGGCTGATCTAAATACAGGGGATTTAGAAAACTATTTTTATGATTCTGATAGCATTTCACTCTTCTTTCGGGGTAATCAGAAAGAAAACAGGGAAACTAAACACTGACAGTTTGTGCTGCTGTTGATTTGCCTTCAGGAACTGCATGGCTGCAGGATCAGCTCTCCTGTCAGTCATTCTGCTATGGCTCCTGGAAGCATTTTTTCTGCATTATTAATACCATTCATTCTGAGGAACTAAACAACGCGTGGGAGCGCTTGTGTGGGTTAATTTAAATCAACTAAAATACATAAGTGCTTAAAAAAGAGCTGGTGGGATTGCTGATCTCCACGGAGAACACATACGCCATTGAGGCTCACCTGCGTCAATGGGACACATCACATGGGCAGAGGGAATAGTGTTCCTGTCAGATAGTTTGTGCATTTCCTGACCACAGGCAGTCTTGGTGTTAGGTGTTGTAATTGAGATATTGTGTTAATATCACTAAGCATGTATCACTAAGTCTCCTTAAAGCCTTTATGTCTCAAGGCCTTGATGATCAAGTTAGTACTGCAGATTATACACACTCCTTCTTTAAGTATCCAGACACTGAATGATATGAGTTACTGCAAGTATCTGAACTTGAAATGGGAATCTCAGGGTAAAAAGGCCCTTTCCCTTGTCTGGACTCCTCATACATATATTCAATTCAGAAAACAACACCAGAGAAAACAGATGTAAGGCTCTGGGTCATTTTAAATGGCTGATGTTCCTGTTTTAAATAAACCAATAAATCTGTTAGAACTGGTGTATGTCAGAGATGAATACTGCAGAAAGGGCGATCAATCTCAAGACACAGAAATTAGGAAGATTTTATTCAGTCGCCTTAAAGAAGCAGGCTTACTGGAACTCTCCATCTTCACTTGGAGAGATCACTATCTGGCAAACTGCCTCCAAACATGACAGTTTTATAGCTTGTTGGAACTGCTGCAGTACAATCGTTTTTTATACATGGCATACATGCATGTATGAATTTTTTATATTCACATCTAGAAGTTCCCAAGACACATGCCAGGCTTTTATTTATAGATTTCTCATCAACCTTTAACACCATTCAACCACGCTTGTTAGTGGAAAGATTACTGTCAAATTTTAATCTAGACTTTAAAATTGTAGGTTGGATCTTAGACTTTTTGACAAGCACATCACAAAGACTGAGGGTAAATGGTCTTATATCAGAGCACTCTTGTTCTTCCAGTGGCTCTCCTCAGGGCTCTGTGTTATCCCCTGTCCTGTACTGTGTATCCTTAACACAGACAGCTTTAGGAGCCCTTGTGGAGACAGAAACATCGTTAAGTTTGCTGATGACTCTGTCATTGTCAGTCTCCTCCATCATGGGCCTATAAGGTGATTATTGTGCTGAATGATGTTAACAACTCCTTCTTTTGACTTAATGTGTCAAATACAATCCAAAACTGCCAAGACATGATAACTTACAGAAAGCTACCACCAGTTGCAAAAGCAACAGTCACTGAGGAGCAAGAAACTGAAAATGTCAACAGTCAATTGTCTACATATCTTGGGAGTGTTGTTGATTACAGATTTACCTTTGAGGAAAACATGGATGACTTATGTAAGAAGAGCCAACAGCGACTGTTCTTCCTAAGAAAACCGTGCTCTTCCAATGTGTGTCTTACAATAATGAGCTTATTCTACAGAACATTCATTGAATCTGTCCTGACATTCACTGGGGTAGCCTGGTTTATTAATCTTACTACACGCAATAAAAACGGACTGAGCAGGATTGTGAAGGTAGCCAGCAGAATTATTGGTGGACGACAGCAACGGCTGTCAGTCATCAATGCCCAGCACATAGTGCAGAAGGACAATAAAACCAAGGACTGTCATGACCAAGCCTCGCACAACAAAAGTGGACAAGTGATTGTTATATTTTTCTTCATATATTTTTTCTTTCTCATCATACAGTACATCTATGTTTCTGATTTGTCCATACTGTGTTAAATGTATTGCATATTGTTTTAAGTCTTTTACCTGCCTGCAAAGCAAATTTCCTTAATTTCCAATAAAAGACAGAAAGTAAGTAAGGATACACCATGTTTCCCTGTATTCTTGCCAAAGCTGCATTTCTTAAGGTGGGTAAGGGGATGAGGCCTGCATCAAGTTGTCAATTCCTCTGTCCTGACCCCCAGCCTTTTCCTGGCCAATGTCTGGACAAGGAAATGATTTGTTTTTGGTACAGTATCTGGATCTCCCAGTTCTCTGGTAAATCCTAGATTCGTTCGAGATTAACCCCCTTCCCCCATGCGCCACCTCAAGATCTGAAGGTCATTTGTCAAAGAACATCAAGGTGTGGTGCTGCATACAGGAACAGTGTGCTGCTTGTGATGTGTAAGGTCTGTCAGGCAGAGCCACAGGATGGCCCAAGCACACAGACACCAGGGACTCCGATTTTACGTACATTTATATATGTATAACTTTTTCAGCTGCATTCTTGAATTTCTCCTCAAGGCTTTCAATACAGTCGATCTCCCTGAGGGAAAAATTAACTCTTTCAGATGGGAACATCGAACAGCTGTCCACACTAACACTGTTCAATCTATTAAGGAGTTTCCTCCTGTGTTTATTAAGAGCTGCGGGTCAATAAAAGTGTGGCTTTCAGCTACTTGAGCCAACAGAAAAAAAAACAGTTGCTATGCAAACATACCCAAGTGTGTAGGCAGAAATAAAATCTGTTTCAGCTGGTTCCTTAAGAGAACTGATTGATGGAAGAAAATAACAGTGTGGATAGGATCAATAACCCATGCTCCCTAAAACTGATAAGACACCTTGATTTAATCTTCGCTTTTTTTCACTGGTGCACCACAGCACAGTCAATGCCTGTGTGTTAACACAACAAGCCTTGCTGTTATGAGTGCTATCAGATCCTGCAGTTCTATCTTACCTTGTGATGCTTCATGGTTCTTAAGTCTGAATTTTAACTACAATTTAATCTTGTAAGGTACAGTACAAGTATTTTTGCAGACTGATTAGAACACAGAGTTGATGTCAACTTTTAAAGCTCCTTACAATAAGACCAAACCAGTAACCTTACTTGTCTTACTGAGGACAATGTATATTGATATCTGGAAATAGACACCAACGTACAGCATAAATGGGTGTCTGATATAAACATAAAGAGAAGTCATAAAACAACATGTATGTTTCTTATGCTATATAAAGTAACTAAGTCAAACATCAAATTGTATTTAAACTGATTTACAAGATAACTGAATTGCAATGTCAATTCTAGATAAATATACAATAGCATAAACTATAGGAGAAGTGAAGTTTCCTCACTCACTGAATGCACTAATTATTTTCAGGTGGGGGGGCAAATTTGAAAATCCATCTCAAATTGTTCTAATAGATTGGAGCCAGCTGTCAGTTGTGGTTGTTCTGTCATGCAGTGCATGTACACAGCTCACAACACAGTCTAACATTTCCCTATGGGAATTAAACAAAGTGACTTTGCAGTCCCTCAGGAATTTCCTAATTCCATTAGGCTCTTCAACGAGGTTTGACAACAGCTTGCACAGGAGTTAACAACCCATTATTACAGAGAAGAAAAGTGAAACTTTTAAAAAACATTTTCTACCTAACGAGAATACTGTTAGGATCTTAAAAGATATCTCTGTTCTTGAATCAGTCCAGGGAGGAGACTCCAGATCCATTCTGGGGCTTGAAGGAACATGCTGACAGGCTAAAGGAAATGAACCTTTGCAGTCTTGAACACAGAAGACTACAAAGGCGCCTGACTCAGGAACTTTTACTAACCTGTCAAACACAAATGAGAGGACACAAGTGGAAACTAAGCGAAAGTTCATAGAACTCGGAGAACAGGGGAACTCTTCGTCCAAAGGTTGTGGGAGGACGGAACAAGCTAACCAGTCATGTTGTTGAAGTCGCTACATTGGTTTCTTTCAAGAAAGGACAGGATCCCTGGTCAATCAATTACTAACTACCAAGCAGTCTCCTCTCGTTTGTAACCTTTATGTTCTTATGTTCGGATAACTGCACAAAACATTCCACCATACAATCCCATTCACCATGGAATGGGGATGTGAAGACACGGGGGTTTTCCAGGAGGAATTATTTGGCACTTCAGTACTGTTACATTCCGCTTAAAACACACACAGACAAAAAACACCAAAGCAATAGAAATCCCAGGGAAATACGTTGAAAAGGATGGAAGGAATTCAGAAATGATGTCCCCAGACAATGAGATATTGAATCTGCATCCTCCTGGCAGTTCTTTGGAACGTACTTATTTTCTGTGGACTCTTTCCTTGTTGTGCTTTAGCACACTCTTGGTGCCTCCAATGATAACACCTTTGCTAGTTTCCCAGCAAAATATAATTCATACAAACTGTTACAGCAGCACAGTGCTGTAGTCATCAGCATTGGTACCTCGCAGCGCTGGGGACCTGGGTTCAATTTCTGGGGTGCTATCTGTGTGGAGTGTTCTCCTTGTTCAAGTGTGTGTTTCCTCCAGGGGCTCTTGTTTCCTTTTGCAGTCCAAAGCCAAACTGGCAGGTTAAGGTAGGTTCTGGGAGAACTGGACCTGGTGCAAGTGTGCGTGTCTGTGTCTGCCCTGTGATGGA